GGAACACAGTAGGTTTTGACTTGTGCCAAGGGCAGGGGCGTGAGACAGAAAGCAGGCTGAGGTGAAGAGGGCTGGAGCCTGAGCCCAGAGGGAGCGACTGAAGGCCAACAAGAGGCTGACACTGAATGGTCAGGCCCAAGCCAGTGAGCCTAGGCTACTGGTCAACAGCCAGTGTAAACTGCAGGCTAAGACTAAGAAGGCCAAAGCCTATATAGGACGATAAACAGTGAAAAAGTGACATCTGCAAGGCATGGGCAAGGCTGTAAGGAAGGACAGAGGCCACAAGTTCAGTCTTTAGGACAATTAGGGCCAGAGGAGCTCCAGGATGAGTGGGGAGAGAGAGAGAGACTGTGTGTAGGGGTCTGAGCCCCAAATCAAGTGGGCCAAGTCAAGCCCACTTAGGAGCAGAGGACTAGGAAGAATAACTAGAGCTCAACAGACTCTCTAAGGACAGCCACTCTTATTAATAAACATCAAGGTATGGCAGAAAAGTCACCAGGGTGAGATCCTGAGAGGCTGGAGTGAGAGCCAGGCAGGACTAAGGCACCAGGGGGTGTCACAGTCACCCTAGGGTACATCCTGTTCCAAGGACCCATACCTGAAACTGGACTTGTTTTACTTCCACTAGCTTCAAGGGGCAGGTACAGCTAGAGGGAGAACATGGTCCGTAGGTGCATCACGACTTACAAACTGAAAGCAAGTCTTCCTCTTCCTTCAGTCTGGGTTCTCTCAAAACAGTGCATTTGAACACTATTTCTAGAGTTACCCATCCCAGCCTTTAAACAGACACCAAACGTTGCCAACCTCTCACCAGAAGCCAATTTCCTATGAGTCAAAGCACACCAAATGGATCCAGACCATGCCAGGACAAGAAATGTAAAACCTGCCAACGTATCTCCACCACCCCCACAATTCCTACACCCCACAACAGAACTATTACCATTCTTGGATCTTACACCGGCACCTCCAGAAATGTAATATCTCTCATCCAGTGTAGTGTATGCCCGGATGAAAGATACGTAGGAGAAACCAAACAACTGCGTACCAGAATGAACACACACCGAAAATCTATCAAAGACAAAAATACCCAATTACCTGTGGGTTCACATTTCTCACAAGACATCCACTTCCTCTCTCTTCAGTCTCTCAGTTCTAATCCTCAAAGGGAACTTACAAAACACCTTTTGTAGATGAGCCTACAAACTTCACTTCATCAATCTACTGGATGCAAAAATCATGGACTAAATATAAACATTGGGTTTATAGCACATTATACCCTACCTGCCATCCAACAACCCTGGGTAACTTCTCTACATTTTACCAGCTACATTCTAACATCAGGTCAAGATTCCCCTCTTCCCCCCAACCTACCTGTTTCTCACCTACTAACTCTCATCCCCTCTGATCTTCCCTGCCATGCATTTGCATTTTCACACACCTGCATTTTACACATTGGCTTAAGCTTCTATTCCACCCAGGAGAGCACACAAACACCAGCAGACTCTCCCTATGCCTGAAGAAGGGTGTTTGTGCCCAAAAGCTTGCAAAAAACAATTTTTCAACTATTTAGTTGGTCTAATAAAAGATACCACATTTACCCAAAGAAACTTTCCTGCGTCTGAGCAGGACATTTTCTACTATATATCTAGCCACAGGAAAGTAAAATATGTGGGTTTGTTTTGGCAGGATTCATGGCTCATTTACCAGAAAATTTATAAACAGGCTGGAATTCCTGAAGAATTATTTGTTATGAACCAACCATTTGGGAGTATTTTGATAATAAGAAAAATAGTGTATTAAAATTTAGAAGCAGACAAATCTATTCTGAAGGCAACGGAAAATTTAGCCTGTATCTTTGATGATGCCAAAAACAAAGGATTCACTGACAGCTCCAATCCTGCGCATCTCATCTTTGATTGTATCAAGTAAAGCATTTTCATGGCAGGTTTAAAACTGCACAGTGGTCATGAAATTTCATTAAATCACTGGGTAGTCATTTTGACAATGTGCTTTTAAAAAGGGCCTTATTCATAAACTGTACCCATGATAGTACTGAATTCATCAGCTTCTAATGGTGAGAAATGTCTGGTTGGAAAAAACACTTATTATATGGCAGTCTGCCAGTTTTCCTTCAGCTAAGCACAGCACACCAAATGTTAAGTTAGAGGTCTAGTAGGCTTCAGTCAATAATTAAAGGCCAACTTTCTGATTCATAAAGACCAGACATAACTAGCAGGGTTTCAATTAAGGACAGTACTATACAGAAAAAAAAAGATTCTAAACAACAACAAAAGACGCACACAATTCCCTTCACCCAAACATTTTTCTGTGTGTAACTTGTTACAATGTTGAAGGCCTACATTGTAAACTGCATAACTTCTGTGAAGAGAACAGCTTCCATGAGTGATGTTACAGCATATGCATCACTGACAGCTGCATACACAAACGCATCACTGGATCACATGCTGTATGTATATACTCAAACACAAAATTTATGGTTTAAAAGACGTTGCCCACAGTTGCAACGCTTTTCAATGTTCCACGCATTATACTCTCTCACCAGCCCTCACTGTTCCCACAACCTGTTGATCTAAGGGAAGACAGACTGTCATATGGAATTGCTTACTATTGTTACCACAGTTAACAATAAATGTTTTGAATCGATGGTAAAAATATTTTTATTTTATTTTCTTAAAGTAACTACTGTGCAATTATATTCTGTCTGCTAATAATTTCCTTGTGGTTAATTTCCAATTTAAAAAGCAGGCCAATTTAAAACACTGCTTTGATCTGTATGTTTGAATCTCTCAAAATCAAGACTTAAACAGTTTGGAAAAGAACATACATAAAGTTATTAATCTTGTACTATTATTACATACAATTCCTTCTAGCTCAGGGGCGGGCAATTATTTCGGGCGGAGGGCCGCATGACAGGCAGCCAGGGGCAAATAAATATTAACTTTCTAAATTTTTTAGGGGCCCCGCGGGCCAGGTAGAATGGCTTGGTGGGCCGCATCTGGCCCGCGAGCTGTATTTTGCCCACCCCATTCTAGCGTCTCTCTTTATCCAGAACTAAACAAGGCACTGTAAAGCCCCCATGTAAGGTACAAATATACATAGCAGATGAAACTTTCTACCACACAGATTG